ATGGGCTCAAGTGTGTCAGAAAGGATGAGAACGGCACAGGATAGGACGAGCTTCAGTCTCTTGTGCATAGGGTCACTGTGAGTTGTACTTGACTCAACGGCACCTAAGAACACATAAGAGCCCAGTGAGCTGAATGATAAATGAACCAATGAGTTACTAGTGGTGTGTTTTGAGCAGTGCGTGGCAAATAGACATAAGGGGAAAAAACCACCTGAAATCCACTCATAACTGGCCCACCAGTGGGTTTTCAAAGGCTGTAAAATCACATGGGAGGAGATCACCTATCTTTCTCTCAAGGAGCTACCCCACCCCTGAGTGTGAACAGCTAGAGAGGTTCAGCCTTGGGGTTAACAGTGTTGTTTCCTACACCCCACACCACCAGAGCTCCCAGGACTTAAAAAGGAGTGTTGCAGCTTTTCAGAGGGTGCAAATCGCATGGGAAAAGATTATCCATCTTTCTTCTGTAGAGCAAGCAGCTGGTGGCTTGGAACTGTCTTCCTTAATTAAAATGTTGTTGTTAGGTGCCATCAAGTTAAGTATTTAACACAGTAATTTTAAATAGTGCCTGTTGTTGTTGTTATGTGCCATTGAGTTGCCTGCTACTCATAGCGACCCTGTGTACAACGGCCCTAAACCCTGCTCTATCCCTTGTCAATCTTATTGTCTCTGACACACCTGACCCCGCTACCCCAGTCACTGAATCAATCCATCTCATCCAGGGTCTTCCTCTCCTGTGCTGTCCCTCCACCCTTCCAAGCATGACGTCCCTTTCCAAGGACTGATTCCTCCTGGCAACATTACCAAAGTATGTCAGATGAAGCCTCAGAATTCTTGCCTCCAAGGAGCAGCCTGGCTTCACCCTCCCCAGGACAAAATTGTTTCCTCTCCTAGAAGTCCATGGCATATTCAACACTCTTCTCCAGCACCACAGCTCAAAGGCATCAACTTTCCTTCTATCATCCCTAGTCATTGTCAAGCTCTCTGATGTATAGCAAGTAATTGCAAAGACCATGCCCACCTTAGTCTCCAGACTGACATCATTGCTCTTCATGTAAATAAAAATTAGAAAAGAAATGAAAAGCAGGTTTGTGACTGTTGTTGTTGTTGTTATGTGCTCTTGAGTCGCTTACGACTCATAGCGACCCTATGTACAATAGCCCTAAACTCTGCTCTGTCCTGTGCCAATCACACTGTCTCTGACACTCCCATCCCAATTATCCCAGTCACTGAATCAA